AGGTAAGAAATGGTAACAGATTACTTTTCTTCGGTTTCGCCTAATCGGAGTTCGCCATACAGTTGATCAGTCGATTCGTCTCCTCTATTTATTGCATTCGATGTGGTTAAATTATGCAGGGTTTCAGACGTCAGCCTTTCTCAATGTGAATTAAAGCTTTTCCCTAGTATCTCGATATTATCAGTTAAAGTCCACCGCCACAAATTATTAATATAATCCACAATAGTGTTCACTGCTGGAGTCGTGTCTACTGGTAGAAGCTTTGCACTGGTTGTAGAATAGACCTCGGATGAGAAATCCCTGCAAAATCCAAAGTACACAACACTGTCAGTAGTGAAACAAGTAGACAGTATAGACTAGTGAGAAGGCAAAGCGGCGAGAAGCACACCGTATTTTAGATCAAAGCCTTTTCCGAGTATTTCGATATTATCAAAATCGATCTTATGACCACTTCTACAGCATGCATCTCTATAGCTGGTCTTTCGTCCGGACTCTTCAATTCGACTTCGTTCCTACATAGACGTTTTGTGCACAGTCTGTGTTCATCCACTCTGACCTTTGTCTTTCTATTTCTTTCCTCTATATAGCAAGCTTCACATTGCAAACATAGGTTATCCTATAGGCACGGGGGTTTTGTGTCATTGTAGCAAACAAATATTTGACACTAACTAAAGCCTCCTCTAAAGAATTAGAGGGATTTAAATAGACTAAAACATTATGTGAAGCAAGTATCCTTTGAGGTTGTTCAGTCATGTCTTTTCAATGTGGAATGGCCATCGTCGACACCCAAGATTTCTCAATCTTACCTCCTTCTTCATCCATTTCTATTGGAAATGTTGTTTAGCAGCTTTTTCGGATAATCATTTTCGATCAAAACTGCTCATATTAGAGATCTCCATGTCATCAGTTTGATGATCATTAAAATCCGAATAATTCTACTGAAGGAGGTGTACCTTTTACTCTGTTAGCTTAGTTACCCAAATTCAAATAGAAAATAAAATACCAAATCCGTTTAGTTACGGGAAGAATATATTAAAGTTTCCTTACTTGGGTTTACAAAGATCCAAAGTCCACAATAAACGTAGTAGACTCCAGGTGCTGCGGGAAGACTGCTCCAGTACTAATTCTCCAATGTTGACGTTGCCGGAGGTCGACCAAAGTACGTAGGAAGAAACTACGATGCTCCTGTAAAAATTCGAGATAGAAATTGTTCGACGGCAGTTGAGATGGTGGAGAAGACGGAGAGTCGAAGACAGAATGATATATCCATTCAAAACCCGAGGTAAAAATCAAAGTACAGAGTTTATGGTTAAAACAAAGTAGTGTACAATATGTTCATTTCTTACATAGTAGTAAAATTTGGATAAGTTTATTTTTTTTTGAGGACTCCACACGGCTCCTCCTCTTAGAGGTCCGGAGGACCATCAGTACTGTCCTCATGGACGATTACATGAATATAAGCAATATAAATAGTGGATAATGTCAACAACAAGGATAACAAAAAATAACAGCAACAATAATAAGGATACAAAGTTAGATCCGGATGTATGGAATGCATGCGTGTCGTATAAAGTTTAGCACCTGCAAGCATGATTCAGGAATTTTTTTAAAAAAAATCAAAACTTGTTATAATTTTAAATAAAAAATTTATGTACATAATAAACCATGACATGTTCGTTAGCATTTGCGAAATTCATATATAAATAGATATATACATATACTTGGTGAATGCGTGTGCTTGCAGTACAGTTAACAAACAGCAAACAATAATACTAATAAATATTTATGGTTATAATGAAATGAATGTCGACAACAATAGTAATGAGAAGAATATCTAAATGAGGTCAACGTATCTTTTTTATGTCAGTCAATAAAATGAACATAGCGGGCAGGTTTACAGATCTGCCGTCCACTGTGTGTCTCTACAGGGGGAAGTGTGAAGAGAGGAAGAGTTGGAGTTGCATTGGCTTTCTCATTGTTGATTGGTGCAGGCGTTGCTAGTGTTTCATATTCGCTGTCAGTGTACGCTGGTTTAAGACGATCAATAGAAACAGTCTCCGGTTTACCATGTTTGTTCAGCGTGAAGTATTTATCGGTGCGTTTGAGTACTAGAAAAGGGCCTTCATATGGATGTTGTAAACCTTTTCTAATGGCATCGACGCGAACAAACACAAATTTGCAAGTGAGTATACTCTTGTTAACTTGAGCTTTCTGAAGTGATTGGCGAGGGGCTACTGGTCGAAGCTGGAGCAGGATAGAAATCTTGCTAATGAAGTCACCTAACCTTGTTATTTATTTATTTAAACGCAGAAAAACTTGGTACAATATGGCACCAAGGAAGATGCGCCACACAATAATAATAAAACAACATAGATAAAAAGTAAAAATATAATTAGAGAACGGATAAAGAACTTCATCTGGAAGAAAAAGTCATACTTAACAAGTTCAAACAGTATTCGGCAACTATCATCAGGAAGGGAAGAAAAAATTGAAATTGCAGCACGTTCACCATTGATTACAATTCTTGGCCATAACCGATAACGTTTCGAGCTATCTCGCGGACCCTAACCAGGGAGTCGTGACGCACCAACCAATACTAATCAAGCACAAATATCCTTCATCCTACGACGCCACGTCATGGACTGACCAACTGTCCGACTTTTCCATCCCGTCCCAGGGCTAGCGAACAGAGACCTGTGCGTAAGCCTCTGGGATGACATTCGCAGCACATGTCCAAGCCACCGGAGCTGGTGTTTCCAGATGACGACACTCAATGAATGGTGATCTCCACTGTGTTCAAACACACGCCGTCGAACCTCAGAATTACTCACGCGATGATGCCATCGAACGCAAGCAATCCTGCGGAGACAGCGATGATCGAGCACACAGAGTCGCCGCACATCCTCAGCTCGGGGAGGCCAGGTTTCACAGACGTAGAGCAAGGCAGCACGCACCGAAGCATTGTATACCCGACCTTTGACAGCCAGGCTAACATCGCGACGGCGCCAGAGGTGGCACAAGTTGATGTATGCCACCCTAGCCTTCATTATACGGTTGGAAATCTCATCCGTCACCCCTCCGCCAGCACTCACACAACTACCCAGGTACACAAACTTATCAACAACTTCAAGCGGTTCACCCGCAAGAGTGAGTGCAGGTACAGGCTCCTGCCAATCTTGTAACAGTACCTTGCACTTAGACGGTGCAAAGCACATACCATACTTACAGACACTGATCGCCAACTGATTAAGTGCGATTTGGGCAGCCTGCATGCTATCGCACAGTAAGACGATATCGTCTGCATACTCGAGGTCGAAAAGTCTATCTCCAGGTAGCAGATCTACACCACCTTCACGCACATCCTTCACAGCTGACTCCAGAATGTCATCGATGGCAAAGTTAAAGAGAAATGGAGAGATTGAGCAACCCTGTCTAACCCCACTGTTGGTTGGGAACAGTGATAATAGTTGGTTGTATGCCCTCACTCTACCTGAGGTGCTTCTGTATAGGGCTTTCAAGATGTTAACAAATTTCTCAGGTACACCTCTCTCTAACAGACAGTTCCAGAGCACAGTTCTGTCCAACGAATCGAAGGCAGCCCTAATATCAAGAAACACAACGATCGTTGGCCTGCAATACGTGTGGCGGTGTTCCAACAACTGACGAAGGGTGAACACATGATCAATGCACTCACGGCCTGAACAAAACCCAGCCTGCTCTTCGCGAATCAATCCCACACGTATTTTGCACAGCCTGCGAAGCAAGACAGAAGCCAATAATTTAGACGCGACTGGTAGCAGACTGATACCCCTATGATTGTCGCACGAATTACGTTGACCCTTTTTAAAGATGGGGACGATGACGGCTTCGTTCCACATTGATGGTACACTCTCAGTTTCCCATACCTTCCTGAACAACCCAGTTAGAGCCATTGTGAGAGTCTCGCCCCCATCTTTAAAAAGATCCGGGGGTTAATTGTCTGGGCCGGGCGCCTTGTGGCGTTTTAATACTTGGAGTTTCTTACGGACCTCCGCTTCGGTTGGTGGGTCGGTACTAACTGACCAAGGAGCACTGGAGCTAGTGACAGCAGATACTAAAGCTGGTGGCCAGCTGAACTGTTTCCCGAAGTGCTCTGCCCAGAGTTCCAGGCGTCTTTTCAAACTGGTAATTGGCGCGCCATCTGCCTCACAGACCGTCTCGCTGACACCTTGTTTTTTGCTGCCGGTGGCTCGGATGAGTTGGAACAGCTTCCGACTGTTGCCAGATGCAGCAGCTGACTCCATCTCACCCGCACGTTCTGACCACCAGGCCTCGCGGTCCTTACGTAAACACTTTCTTATCTTGCGCGTCAGCGCCTTTCGCTTATTGCTGTATTCCCTACCAGCCGGAATAGACCGGTATTCATCCAGGAGTTGCGAGGAACTCGCAGAAACCCGGTGGTTTATGGCGGAGCATTTTCTCAAGTGGCTACACTAGCCCTTTGCATGGCACCTTGCAGATGAAGCCAATGTTCATCTATACTACTTGGGGGGTTGCTGGCAAGCATTGATTGTAACTCATTCTGATATTTCAAACAAGTAGCAGGTGCTACTAGTTTGCTCACATCAACGTTTAGACGACGCCTTTTATGAACCCCACCAAATCGCAAGACGAACTTGGCACACACTAATGCATAATCGGAGTCCAGGCATGTGCTCCAGAAGAAGCGACAGTCTTGTATGCATTCTCGCCACCGGAAACTGACAGCAATGTGATCGATCTGAGTCCAAGCTTGGTTCGCAGAGGGAGGACGCCAGGTAGCGCTACGGCGATGGTTGTGCCGGAAGTTGGTGCTGGCCAGAAATGGGTTGTGATCCGCGCAAAGCTGCAGAAGACGGTCCCCATTATCTGACCTGCGACCATGTAGTCCCCACTGACCACCTAGACGATTCTCCTCTGAGCTCAAACGCCCGACCTGTGCATTCAAGTCCCCAGCCAGCACTACGATATCCCTCCGACCCGCCTGTCTCAAGAGATCGTTAAGTTGGTGGTAGAACTCGTCCTTCATTGCATCCGGGCTGCAATCCGTTGGTGCATAGGCAGAGACAACAAATAGACACCGCGTATCTGGCCTACTACTCCTTACTTTCGTATAACCTTCCAGCCTCACAGCACATAAACGACTGTTAATGGGAATCCAGTCGAGCAGTGCAGCTTCGGCTCTAGCGCTCAGTGCGACGCCAACACCAGCTACGCCGGATGCCGACGCCGCAGGGTCCCCGGACAAGAGCAGGTGGTACATACTACTAGAACTTCCAGATGGAGAGGATAATTTACTGGGATCTTGAATGCGAGTTTCCGAAATGCAGCAGACATCGATAGTGAGGCTTTCCAACGTTCTTACCAACCTTGCCTGTTGTCCGATTTGCATCAGCGTCCGAACATTGTAGGTGGCCAGCTTGAACGCGGCACCCGGTTTCAGGATATCTGTGTTAGATGTAACATTGGGGACAGCCATTTTGAGGGTTACTCACTAACATCTCAAAACGACATAGATAGGCTAGGAATCCAAATAAAGGCGAAAGGCTGTCGAAGGTTAAGAAGTCAAGGTGAGCAAAGGTAAAATACAAGAAACGAAGTGTATAAATAAAATTAAGGTTGGAAGGGCATAAGTTGCTTGATGTATCATTATTTCTTGAAATCATTTTTACGAGCACGCGGTGAGTTTCAATAATAGTTTGTCGCTTGATTGCATTTATTGTGTGAGGGCTGAGATACTGCCCGGGCGCCCAGACCGAACCAGTTGTTTTCTTTAGGGACCACCTCCCGAGCCTTTCACTTGGAGTCTAATCCGAAAGGCAGCGGCGCAGCGTCAGGTGCTGAGTCAAATATTTGTTTGCTACAATGACACAAAACTCCCGTGCCTATAGGATAACCTATGTTTGGAATGTGATGCTTGCTATATAGAGGAAAGAAATAGAAAGACAAAGGTCAGAGTGGATGAACACAGACTGTGCACAAAACGTCTATGTAGGAACGAAGTCGAATTGAAGAGTCCGGACGAAAGACCAGCTATAGAGATGCATGCTGTAGAAGTGGTCATAAGATCGATTTTGATAATATCGAAATACTCGGAAAAGGCTTTGATCTAAAATACGGTGTGCTTCTCGCCGCTTTGCCTTCTCACTAGTCTATACTGTCTACTTGTTTCACTACTGACAGTGTTGTGTACTTTGGATTTTGCAGGGATTTCTCATCCGAGGTCTATTCTACAACCAGTGCAAAGCTTCTACCAGTAGACACGACTCCAGCAGTGAACACTATTGTGGATTATATTAATAATTTGTGGCGGTGGACTTTAACTGATAATATCGAGATACTAGGGAAAAGCTTTAATTCACATTGAGAAAGGCTGACGTCTGAAACCCTGCATAATTTAACCACATCGAATGCAATAAATAGAGGAAACGAATCGACTGATCAACTGTATGGCGAACTCCGATTAGGCGAAACCGAAGAAAAGTAATCTGTTACCATTTCTTACCTCTGAACAATTACCATGATTCTCATGTGAGATCACTTGTTTTCCAAGCAGCAAGTAATGTGTGAGTAATTCTGCTGAACAAGCTGTGGCTTACACAGCGAAACGTTCAGAAAAATCTTGTCTTGGTTATCTCAACACACTGGGATTATTTTAAGTGATTTCATAATGATTCAATCTGACTCGACTCTGAAATTATTCCAGGAAATTCGCAAATTCTACGAGCTGGTATTTTCAACATTAGTGTGTTTCATTTTGTAAATTTTTTCCTTTAAATCCATATATGGAGTCACGTAAAGTTATTTTTTCCATCTTGATTATTTACGCCGAAGCACGATTTCCACATTTTGTTTTCTGTCTTTACAACATGTGTGCTTTTCCTGCATCATTTTCATGTCATTTCATTTTTCACCATAGGATTTTACAAAATGACTGATGTCACAGAATCCCGGAGATGTTTCCGTTGTCGTGTTTTATTTAACACTGACGATGAGTTTTGGCATCACATGCTAAATGTGGATTGTGATGATTCAATAAGTGCCACTGCGGTTCAGACTTCGTTGCCGGGTAGTACACATTCAAACGATGAATCACAGTCGGTATGTGCATCAGTCAGTAGCTCTTATGTTGGTGGTCTTCGTGATGAGAATTTTCAGGCGAAAGAAGATTTCCAAATGAAGTCCACTTCGCCAGAACACCAGTGTAAAATAGATTCGTCTCCTGGAGCACTTGGAAGAAATACAGATCCACCTGCCTTGAATACCCAGTCATCCGTATTCTGTGATATCTGTCAAGTACCACTTACATCGATTAAAAATAAAGAAGAACATGAGAATGGTAAAATGCATAAAAGCATATTGCATTGAAGTCAAAATGCAGTGGTCAATTGAATATCAGTCAGTCATTAAGCGTTATTGATGACGTACAAGAAGGTTTGTCAAAGATTCGCATTCACTGGCCATCAGCAACACAGAGTTCTATGAACACCAATTCAACTGTCAACGAAACTGTTGATACCGAGCGCCAACCCACACTGCGAAGTAGTGGTCAAGAGGAAATCATCCGTCTCCTACGTCGATTGTGCCTGACGGAAATATTAATCCTACTTTATAATGTGGGAGGAGACTCACATATTAGTTGAACAAATGATTCACTTGAAACAGAACCGACATCCAGTATTAATGAACGAGATTTAATCGAAATGGTGAGAACTATCTGTCGTGAGGAGTTGCGTGAAATTCTACCAGCAGCTTTACAGCATGCTTCTCACCAGTCCAGAAATGTCAACACGTAGTCTGGTTGTCAACTGCAGGGAAGTAAACCTCCCTCAATTATGTAAATAACAATTTAACTGATTTTGATTTTCTTACATATTTTAAGAGAGTGATGATTATATTGAACTATAACATTTTCAATTACCGATTAAAATTTCTAGATTTCGTTTTTGTTTTCTGAGCCAAAGAGAGAGTGTTATTGCTTCACCTATGACTGTGATGCGTTCAAGGCGTTGGGAGTGAAATACAAGGGATATTTAAGTTTTAGTCTGTCTGTTATTTCACATGTCCTGAGAAACCTGAGTGTTTGAAACTACAATGCTTATAAAAGCATCAAAGTTACAACTTAAATGTTTACATGACAACACGAATTATTCTAACCCAATATCAAGTGATCATTCCATCATTTGGAGTTAAACTGTAAATGTGTGAGACGGTGACACTAACAAGAAAGAAGCGGGGGACTACTTAATTTAGTTGTCTAACAGATCAGTAAATATTACACTCACTTGAGAAAATTAATTACACTTAGACTAAAACTTAAATATCCCTTGTATTTCACTCCCAACGCCTTGAACGCATCACAGTCATAGGTGAAGCAATAACACTCTCTCTTTGGCTCAGAAAACAAAAACGAAATCTAGAAATTTTAATCGGTAATTGAAAATGTTATAGTTCAATATAATCATCACTCTCTTAAAATATGTAAGAAAATCAAAATCAGTTAAATTGTTATTTACATAATTGAGGGAGGTTTACTTCCCTGCAGTTGACAACCAGACTACGTGTTGACATTTCTGGACTGGTGAGAAGCATGCTGTAAAGCTGCTGGTAGAATTTCACGCAACTCCTCACGACAGATAGTTCTCACCATTTCGATTAAATCTCGTTCATTAATACTGGATGTCGGTTCTGTTTCAAGTGAATCATTTGTTCAACTAATATGTGAGTCTCCTCCCACATTATAAAGTAGGATTAATATTTCCGTTAGGCACAATCGACGTAGGAGACGGATGATTTCCTCTTGACCACTATTTCGCAGTGTGGGTTGGCGCTCGGTATCAACAGTTTCGTTGACAGTTGAATTGGTGTTCATAGAACTCTGTGTTGCTGATGGCCAGTGAATGCGAATCTTTGACAAACCTTCTTGTACGTCATCAATAACGCTGAATGACTGACTGATATTCACTGCATTTTGACTTCAATGCAATATGCTTTTTATGCATTTTACCATTCTCATGTTCTTCTTTATTTTTAATCGATGTAAGTGGTACTTGACAAATATCACAGAATACGGATGACTGGGTATTCAAGGCAGGTGGATCTGTATTTCTTCCAAGTGCTCCAGGAGACGAATCTATTTTACACTGGTGTTCTGGAGAAGTGGACTTCATTTGGAAATCTTCTTTCGCCTGAAAATTCTCATCACGAAGACCACCAACATAAGAGCTACTGACTGATGCACATACCGACTGTGATTCATCGTTTGAATGTGTACTACCCGGCAACGAAGTCTGAACCGCAGTGGCACTTATTGAATCATCACAATCCACATTTAGCATGTGATGCCAAAACTCATCGTCAGTGTTAAATAAAACACGACAACGGAAACATCTCCGGGATTCTGTGACATCAGTCATTTTGTAAAATCCTATGGTGAAAAATGAAATGACATGAAAATGATGCAGGAAAAGCACACATGTTGTTAAGACAGAAAACAAAATGTGGAAATCGTGCTTCGGCGTAAATAATCAAGATGGAAAAAATAACTTTACGTGACTCCATATATGGATTTAAAGGAAAAAATTTACAAAATGAAACACACTAATGTTGAAAATACCAGCTCGTAGAATTTGCGAATTTCCTGGAATAATTTCAGAGTCGAGTCAGATTGAATCATTATGAAATCACTTAAAATAATCCCAGTGTGTTGAGATAACCAAGACAAGATTTTTCTGAACGTTTCGCTGTGTAAGCCACAGCTTGTTCAGCAGAATTACTCACACATTACTTGCTGCTTGGAAAACAAGTGATCTCACATGAGAATCATGGTAATTGTTCAGAGGTAAGAAATGGTAACAGATTACTTTTCTTCGGTTTCGCCTAATCGGAGTTCGCCATACAGTTGATCAGTCGATTCGTTTCCTCTATTTATTGCATTCGATGTGGTTAAATTATGCAGGGTTTCAGACGTCAGCCTTTCTCAATGTGAATTAAAGCTTTTCCCTAGTATCTCGATATTATCAGTTAAAGTCCACCGCCACAAATTATTAATATAATCCACAATAGTGTTCACTGCTGGAGTCGTGTCTACTGGTAGAAGCTTTGCACTGGTTGTAGAATAGACCTCGGATGAGAAATCCCTGCAAAATCCAAAGTACACAACACTGTCAGTAGTGAAACAAGTAGACAGTATAGACTAGTGAGAAGGCAAAGCGGCGAGAAGCACACCGTATTTTAGATCAAAGCCTTTTCCGAGTATTTCGATATTATCAAAATCGATCTTATGACCACTTCTACAGCATGCATCTCTATAGCTGGTCTTTCGTCCGGACTCTTCAATTCGACTTCGTTCCTACATAGACGTTTTGTGCACAGTCTGTGTTCATCCACTCTGACCTTTGTCTTTCTATTTCTTTCCTCTATATAGCAGGCATCACATTCCAAACATAGGTTATCCTATAGGCACGGGGGTTTTGTGTCATTGTAGCAAACAAATATTTGACACTAACTAAAGCCTCCTCTAAAGAATTAGAGGGATTTAAATAGACTAAAACATTATGTGAAGCAAGTATCCTTTGAGGTTGTTCAGTCATGTCTTTTCAATGTGGAATGGCCATCGTCGACACCCAAGATTTCTCAATCTTACCTCCTTCTTCATCCATTTCTATTGGAAATGTTGTTTAGCAGCTTTTTCGGATAATCATTTTCGATCAAAACTGCTCATATTAGAGATCTCCATGTCATCAGTTTGATGATCATTAAAATCCGAATAATTCTACTGAAGGAGGTGTACCTTTTACTCTGTTAGCTTAGTTACCCAAATTCAAATAGAAAATAAAATACCAAATCCGTTTAGTTACGGGAAGAATATATTAAAGTTTCCTTACTTGGGTTTACAAAGATCCAAAGTCCACAATAAACGTAGTAGACTCCAGGTGCTGCGGGAAGACTGCTCCAGTACTAATTCTCCAATGTTGACGTTGCCGGAGGTCGACCAAAGTACGTAGGAAGAAACTACGATGCTCCTGTAAAAATTCGAGATAGAAATTGTTCGACGGCAGTTGAGATGGTGGAGAAGACGGAGAGTCGAAGACAGAATGATATATCCATTCAAAACCCGAGGTAAAAATCAAAGTACAGAGTTTATGGTTAAAACAAAGTAGTGTACAATATGTTCATTTCTTACATAGTAGTAAAATTTGGATAAGTTTATTTTTTTTTGAGGACTCCACACGGCTCCTCCTCTTAGAGGTCCGGAGGACCATCAGTACTGTCCTCATGGACGATTACATGAATATAAGCAATATAAATAGTGGATAATGTCAACAACAAGGATAACAAAAAATAACAGCAACAATAATAAGGATACAAAGTTAGATCCGGATGTATGGAATGCATGCGTGTCGTATAAAGTTTAGCACCTGCAAGCATGATTCAGGAATTTTTTTTAAAAAAATCAAAACTTGTTATAATTTTAAATAAAAAATTTATGTACATAATAAACCATGACATGTTCGTTAGCATTTGCGAAATTCATATATAAATAGATATATACATATACTTGGTGAATGCGTGTGCTTGCAGTACAGTTAACAAACAGCAAACAATAATACTAATAAATATTTATGGTTATAATGAAATGAATGTCGACAACAATAGTAATGAGAAGAATGTCTAAATGAGGTCAACGTATCTTTTTTATGTCAGTCAATAAAATGAACATAGCGGGCAGGTTTACAGATCTGCCGTCCACTGTGTGTCTCTACAGGGGGAAGTGTGAAGAGAGGAAGAGTTGGAGTTGCATTGGCTTTCTCATTGTTGATTGGTGCAGGCGTTGCTAGTGTTTCATATTCGCTGTCAGTGTACGCTGGTTTAAGACGATCAATAGAAACAGTCTCCGGTTTACCATGTTTGTTCAGCGTGAAGTATTTATCGGTGCGTTTGAGTACTAGAAAAGGGCCTTCATATGGATGTTGTAAACCTTTTCTAATGGCATCGACGCGAACAAACACAAATTTGCAAGTGAGTATACTCTTGTTAACTTGAGCTTTCTGAAGTGATTGGCGAGGGGCTACTGGTCGAAGCTGGAGCTTTTGCTGGGTAAGGCGGTTGGTGAAATCGGTGATATTTATATCGATTGAATCATTAGATGGAACCAACTGACCAGGCAATGTGAGGGTAGTATCATACACAAGTTTAGCTGGTGTACATTCCAAATCTTCTTTGACAGTTGATCGGATACTGAGAAGAACTAATGGTGGGTGTTCAATCCACTTAGATGAGTCAGCTTGGGCCATTAGGGAGCTTTTCAGTTGTCGATGGAAACGTTCCACCAGACCATTCGCTGCAGGATGATAAGCTGTAGTGGAGATATGGTTCACTCCAAGGAGTCTCGTAAACTCTCGAAACAGAGTTGATAGAAATTGAGCTCCTCGGTCTGTTGTAATAGTTGTTGGTGCTCCATAGTTTGACACCCAACGATCTAAGAAAACCAAAGCGGTATTTTCTGCAGATATGTCGTTGAGAGGACAGGCAATAGCCCATCGGGTAAATCGATCAATAGCAGTAAGTATATGAGTAAACCCTCTGGATGGCGGTAATGGTCCAATAATATCTATATGCACGTGTTGGAATCGTCTATCCGGTAAATTGAACTGCTTTGGAGGTGTGACGGTATGATGATGTACCTTGGATCTTTGACATTGCAAGCATTGGCGGGCCCATTTCCGAATATCGGAGTTCATCTTGGGCCAAACAAAACGCTCGCTGATTAACTTGACCGTAGCACGGACTCCAGGATGAGATAAGGAATGTGGATGTTCAAACAAAGGTTTTCGACAACTTAGTGGGACAAAAGGTCTATGAACGCCAGTTGGTCGGTTAAGATAGTAAAATGTCGACCTTGTAGTCAGAAGCTGAAATGTTTAACTGCTAGGTAGATGGCTAACAGTTTTCTGCTAAAAGTGCTGTAACGAGTTTGTGCAGGTTCCAACTTTTTGGAGAAGAAAGCAAGTGGAGTGATGTCATTATTGAACTTTTGTTGTAAAACTGCGCCCACTGCTACCTGCGATACATCTGTACATAAAATGAGTGAAGCTTCTGGGTTGATGTGAGATAACATTACAACGTTGGATAAGGCATCTTTTGCGTTATTAAATGCTGCTTTTGCTTCTTCAGACCACTGAAATTTCTTCGAATGGCATCTAAGTAGGTCGGTCAGTGGCTGAACTATGGAGGCACATGATGGAATAAAACGTCGGTAGAAGTTGAACATCCCGAGAAAACATCTAAGTTTCTTTAAGGAATCAGGTTCGGGAAAGTTCTTAATAGTTTTTATCTTATCTTCCGTAGGTCTGATGCCTTCGGCAGTTATTCGATGCCCTAAGAATTCAATGGAAGGGGAACCAAAAATACATTTCTTTGGATTTATAACAACTCCAAATTGTTCAAACCTTTGAAATAACAAGCTTAAGTGTTCCATATGTTCTTCCATCGATGAGCTGGCAATTAAGACATCGTCGATATATACAAAGACAAAATAAGGACCTTGGGTAACTTGGTCCATGAAACGCTGAAATGTTTGAGCGGCATTCTTTTTTACTCCGAAGGGCATTCTCAAGAATTCGAATAATCCAAAAGGCGTGATAATTGCTGTTTTTGCAATGTCTTCTGGAGCGACTGGTATTTGATGATATGCCCTGACCAAGTCAACTTTAGTAAAAATGGTCTTTCCATGTAACGTCAAGGATAAGTCGTGGAGATGAGGTATAGGATAACGGTCTGGGACCGTAGCGCTATTCAAAGCTCGATAATCTCCACATGGTCGCCAGTCGTGATTAGTTTTGGGTACCATATGCAAAGGTGAAGACCATGGACTATTAGATGGTCGTTAGATGCCTAGCTGCATCATATGTTCGAATTCCGACTTAGCTGCTTCTAGTTTATCTGGTGGTAACCGTCGTGGACGTGCCTTCACAGGTTGTCCTGTTGTGATGATCTTATGCGTAACTGTATGAGATATATCTTCGACGTTGTATGACGGTTTAAAGATTTTAGGAAATCGTTGCAATAAAGTAGAGAACATTTCACTCTCCGGCGTTTCTATGCAAATACTATGAACAGAGTAGTCACATGTAATACCGTGGATCTTGAGTTGGGTGCAATTGTCAATCAGTTTTTTCTTGCTGATATCAACTAACAGATTGAAATGACTTAGGAATTCTGCACCTAGTATAGCGTGACGTACGTCAGCTACTATGAAGATCCATGTGAAACGTCGGCGTAGTCCTAAGTTTAAAATCATTGACTGTTCGCCATACGTCTGTATGTTGGTTTGGTTGGCAGCACGGAGTGAAAGTTTCCCAGGTATTTTGGAGGATTGCCTGGATAGTGAGGGGGGAATAACACTGACCTCGGC